AGAGAAAAGTTTAGCTTATTTGAGAGGTTTTTACAATGCAGAAGACTGTTATAAGAAAAGCAGAGTCTATGGACAGTAAAAGAAAGGTGAAAAGAGTGGTTGAGAGAGTGCAATAGGAAGAGCAGATGGATAGAGTGGGAGTGGCACTGTCAAGAAAATTTTAATGAAAAAAAATAAGAAAAAATTTTGGAGTGAGTTAAACAAGTTATGAAAGCCTAGGGAAAGATGGATTTGTCAGTTAAAAAGTAGGAGGTAGGGGGAAATTCGTAGTTAGATGGGGAGGAGAGGGAGGTATTAGTAGATGGCGAGAATATTTTGAGGGAACTTTATAATGTTAGGAAGAAAGGGAGGGGGGTCATTTCATGCATGGTCAGGGAGGTTTACCATTCTTTTAGGAGTGAAAAGGAAGGCAGAATGTAAGTGATGGGGGAGGTACGTGAGGCATTACGTAGAATGATAATGGGGTTGTTAAGGTTTGGTTTTAAAGCAGCTGGATCTGATGGTTCATGACAGAAATGTTAAAAGAGGGGTGGATATAGTGTTGGAGTGGTTGGTAATTTGTTTAATAAAATTATGAAGAGGGGAAGGTACCTAGGATTGGCGGAGAGCCATTGTATAGTCCCTTTTTATAAGACGAAAGGGGGACCAAAAGAGATTGTAAAAAAATATAGGAGGAATAAGTTTATTGAGTATACCAGGAAATGTGTATGGTTTAGGGTTATAATTGAAACAATTAGAGGTAAGACAGAAATGTAGGATTGCGTGCTGAGCAAGGAGGTTTCAGAAGTGGGTAGGGGATGTGTAGATCAAGTGTTTAATTGAAGCATATATTGTGCAAACAGTATTTTGATAAGGTAGGGAAGTTTTTATTTGCATATATGGATTTAGAAAAGGCTATGATAGAGTGGATAGGGGAGCATGTGGCAGATGTTGCAAGTTTATGGGAAATAGGTGGTAAGTTACTAAATGCCTGTAAAGAGTTTTTAGTGGATAGTGAGGCTCAGGTTAGGGTGGGTAGAGCGAGGGGATACTTCCGGCAAAAGGTAGGTCTTAGACAGGGATGTGAATGTCACCATGGTTGTTTAATTATATTTATAGATGGAGGTGGATAAAAGAAAGTAAATGCTAGGGTGTTCGGAGGGAGGGGGTGGGATTAAAATTATGGGGAATCAAATTCAAAACTGGGAATTAAAACACAGTTACTTTTTGCTGATGATACTGTGCTTATGGAGATTCTTAAGAAAAATTGACCAAAGGTTAGTGGATGAGTTTGGAAGTTTATGTGTAAAGGTAGATAGTTGAATGTGAAACATAGAAAAGAGTAAGGTGATGAGGGTATCAATGATTTAGATTAAAGAGAAAAAATTGGATATCAAACTGGGGAGGAGGTGTATGGAAGAAGTTAAGGGTTTTCAGATGACTTGGGAGTTGACGTGTCGGCGGTTGGATGTATGAAGGTGAGGTTAATCATAGAATTGACGAGGGAAAAAAAGGTGATGTGGTGCATTGAGGTATATGTGGAGTTCAAAAAAACTTTATCTATGGAGGCAACGAAGGAATGGATGAAAGTATAGTAGTACCAACATCTTATATGGGTGTGAAGCATGGGTGGTAAATGCAGCAGTCGAGGAGACGGTTGGAGGCAGTGGAGATGTCCTGTCTAAGGGCAAGTGTGGTGTAAAATATATGCAGAAAATCGGAGTGTGGAAGAAATTAGGACAAGGTGTGGAGTTAATAAAGGTATTAGTCAGGGGCAGAAGAGGGGTGTGAGTGGTTTGGTCATTTAGGAGAGACTGGATCAAAGTAGAATGACATGGAAAAGCTATAAATCTATAGGGGAAGGAAGGCGAGGTAGGGGTCCTCTCGAACGGGTTGGAGAGAGGGGTAAAGGACGTTTTGTGGGCAAGGGGCTTGGACTTCCAGACAAGCGTGCGTGAGCTTGTTAAGAAGTATTGGTGTTGGAAAGGAGACGAATGGTACTTGGGGACCTGACGATCTGTTGGAGTGTGAGGCAGGGTATATTTAGTGAAAGGGATTCAGGGGAAACGGGTATTTTCAATTTCGAATATAGTCGGACTTGAAGTCCTGGAAATGGGAAGTACATGCCTGCCACTTTAAAAGGGGGGTTTGGGATATTGGCACAGTTTGGAGGGATATGTTGGTATCCTTTATACGTATATGCTTCTAAACTGTTGTGTTCTGAGCACCTCTGCAAAAACAGGTGATTATGTGTGAGTGTGGTGTAAGTGTTGAATGATGATGAAAGCATTTTCTTTTTGGGAATTTTCTTTCTTTTTTGGGTCACCCTGCCTCGGTGGGAGACGGCCAACTTGTGAAATATATTATATATTATATATATATATATATATATATATATATATATATATATATATATATATATATATATATATATATATTATTTTATATGTATATACTTTTATCATCATTCAACACTTTCATATCACTCACACATAATCACTGTTTTTGCAGAGGTGCTCAGAACACAACAGTTTAGAAGTATATACGTATAAAGATACACAACTTATCCCTCGAAACTGCCAATATCCCAAACCCCTCCTTTAAAGTGCAGGCATTGTACTTCCCATTTCCAGGACTCAAGTCCAGCTATATAAAAATAACCGGTTTCCCTGAATCCCTTCACTAAATATTACCCTGCTCACACTCCAACAGATCGTCAGGTCCCAAATACCATTCGTCTCCATTCACTCCTATCTAACATGCTCACGCACGCTTGCTGGAAGTCCAAGCCACTCGCCCACAAAACCTAGTTTACCCCCTTCCTCCAACCTTTTCGAGGAGGACGCCTATCCCGCCTTCTTTCCCTACAGATTTATTAGCTCTTCAAGTCATTCTACTTTGATCCATTCTCTCTAAATGACCAAACCACCTCAACAACCCCTCTTCAGCCCTCTGACTAATACTTTTATTAACTCCACACCTTCTCCTAATTTCCACACTCCGAATTTTCTGCATAATATTTACACCACACATTGCCCTTAGACAGGACATCTCCACTGCCTCCAACCGTTTCCTCGCTGCTGCATTTACCACCCAAGCTTCACACCCATATAAGAGCAATGGTACTACTATGCTATCATACATTCCCTTCTTTGCCTCCATAGATAACGTTTCTTTGTCTCCACATATACCTCAACGCACCACTTGCCTTTTTACCTTCATCAATTCTATGATTAACCTCATCCTTCATAAATCCATCCGCTGACACATCAACTCCCAAATATCTGAAAATATTCACTTCTTCCATACTCCTCCCCAATTTGGTATCCAATTTTTTTTCATCTAAATCATTTGATACCCTCGTCACCTTACTCTTCTCTATGTTCACTTTCAGCTTTCTACCTTTACACACACTCCCAAACTCAAGATAAAGAATCTAACACAAAGTGGGAGTTGTGACAGTTACTCTTTGCTGATGGCACTGTGCTTTTGGGAGATTCTGAAGAGAAGTTGCAGAGGTTGGTGGACAAGTTTGGTAGGGTATGTAACAGAAAGAAGTTAAAAGTGAATATAGGAAAGAGTAAGGCGTTGAGGAAAAAAAACAGGTAACGGAATATTTGATATCAAATTGGGGGGAGAGAGTACGATGAGGTGAATGTGTTCAGATATTTAGGAGTGGACGTGTCAGCAGATGTGTCTATGAAGGAAGAGGTGAATCATAGAATTGACGAGGAGGAAAAAGGTTAGTGGTGCACTGAGGAATCTGTGGAGACAAAGAACTTTATCCATGAAAGCAAAGAGGGGAATGTGCGAGAGTATAGTATGGATGTGAGGCATGGGTTGTGAATGTTGCAACAAGGAGAAGGCTGGAGCCAGTGGAGATGTCATGTCTGAGAGCAATGTGTGGTGTGAATATAATGCAGAGAATCCATAGTTTGGAGATTAGGAGGTGTGGAATTACCAAAACTATTATCCAGAGGGCTGAGGACGGTTATTGAGATGGTTTGGACATGTAGTGAGGATGGAACGAAATAGAATGACTTCGAGAGTACACAGATCTGTAGTGGAGGGAAGGCGGGGTAGGGGTCGGCATAGGAAAAGTTGGAGGGAGGGGGTAAAGGAGGTTTTGTGTGCGAGGGGCTTGGACTTCCGGCAAGCGTGCTTGAGGAGCAAGTGGAGACAAATGGTTTTATACCTTGACGTGCTGTTGGAGTGTAAGCAAGGTAACATTTATGAAAGAATTCAGGGAAACCGGCAGGCCGGACTTCAGTCCTGAAGATGGGAAGTACAGTGCCTGCACTATGAAGGAGGGGTGTTAATGTTGCAGTTTTATAACTGTAGTGTAAAGCACCCCTCTGGCAAGACAGTGATGGAGTGAATTATTAGTTTTTCTTTTTCGGGCCATCCTGCCTTGGTGGGAAACGGCCGATGTGTAAATAAAAAAAGATAATGTTGTATTTGCACTACTATTATTATTATTATTATTATTATTATTATTATTATTATTATTATTATTATGTTTTTTATTATTATTATTATTTTATTATTATTATTATTATTATTATTATTATTATTATTATTATTATTATTATTATTATTATTATTATTATTATTATTATGACATTTATTATTATTGCTATGTTAATATTATTATCGCTATTATATTATCATTATTATCTACTTTTATTATTACGCTTGCGTTAATAAATTAAGGATTATTGTTATCACAGTTACCTAAAACAAATCTTCGACCTAAGCAAGGAGAACTTCAATGAACCAGATGAAACTTCTTGCTGTCACAGCTATACTTTACAGTTGCTTCTGCGGTATCTGTATGAGGTAAAGTTCAAGTGAGGACCTTGGCCAAGAGAGGCTCTCAAACAAGTACCTTCCTTACACTCTCCGTAGGCCAACGAACTAAGAGAAAGAAGCACTGATAATAACCAAGCGAGCAGTGAGAGGGTGTTGACACTTTTGATGTCGATGAAAAAAGGAGTCACGTAGGCAGCCTTGGTGTTATCTGAGTGGTAAGGGTTGGCTGGCGTGTGTTGGTATAAAACCTGATGTAGCGGGTGGCCGCTCACCATCGCCAACATGAAGCTCTTGGTGGTATGTGTTCTCGTGGCTGCTGCCGCTGGTTGGCCGAGTTCCGGCTTTCAAAGCGACGATGCAGGTGGTGAGTACTTGACTTAAGCTATTTTAAATATACTTGTGATAATAGACTGATTTACTGAGAGTGTCTGACACAAGGAAGCAGGCTAATACAAACTTTAGCCCATTTTAGCTATTAAAACGGTGACACTTTCAGTCATGGTTAAGAATCAGTGAGACACCATGAGGCGATAATTTATAAATATTACCTTAAATGATTTTATGGTTTCTGTGACATTTATATTTTTCAATCCTTTTCGTAAACCATACCACCTACAATTATAAAATCAATCATTTTCATTTCGAGAAATTGGGAAATAGAAACTTTTTTTTTGTTACTAAATAAAAATAAACGAAACCTCTGAGTATGTCATTAAATAATTCATGTCCATATCAAATTCGTTGAAATAAAACCACTATTTGTCTTCGATTTTGTAAAAAATCTCGTCTTCCAGAAACCTGTTAAGTAATGGATTCACGTTTCAAAAGGTGAAGCATTATTATACCTAGATTCTTTAGGAGTATGGCAGTTATTAGAAACATAAATACTGTATTTTCCAGGTGCATCTGATACTCAGAAACAACATGACGTAAACTACCTGCTGTTCAAGGTCTATGAAGTTCTTCGTGATGATAACTTGAAAAATCTTGCTAAGACATTCGACCCTGAAGCCGACACGTCTCACTATTCAGACGATGGAGCTGCGGTTCACATACTTGCAAAGGAACTAAAGGACCACCGGCTCCTGGAACAAAAACATTGGTTCTCCCTCTTCAATACACGACAACGTGAAGAAGCACTTATGCTCTATGATGTTTTGGAACATAGCAAGGACTGGCAAACTTTCATCAGCAATGCCGCTTATTTCAGAAACCGCATGAATGAAGGAGAATTTGTTTACGCATTGTATGCAGCAGTAACGCACTCTCCACTCACCAAGCACATTGTACTTCCACCACTTTACGAGGTCACACCGCACTTGTTCACAAACAGTGAAGTTATCCAGCAAGCCTATCATGCCAAGATGACTCAAACCCCTGGTAAATTCAGATCTCACTTTACTGGCAGCAAAAAGAACCCAGAGCAACGTGTAGCATACTTCGGCGAAGATATTGGCTTGAATACCCACCACGTTACTTGGCACTTGGAGTTCCCATTCTGGTGGGAAGACAAACATGAAGGCCACCATCTGGATCGTAAGGGTGAAAACTTCTTCTGGGTACATCACCAACTCACTGTTCGTTTCGATGCTGAACGTCTGTCCAATCACTTGAATCCCGTTGATGAACTTCACTGGGAAGAAACCATCGAAGAGGGATTCGCTCCTCATACAACTTACAAGTATGGAGGAGAATTCCCATCTCGTCCTGATAATATTCACTATGAGGATGTCGACGGAGTCGCTCGTATTCGTGACTTACTCATTATTGAGAAACGTATTCATGATGCTATTGCCCATGGGTATGTTACTGCTAGAGATGGATCTATTATTGACATAAAAAATTCTCATGGCGTTGATGTACTCGGTGATGTCATTGAATCCTCTAAATATAGCCCTAACGTCGAGTACTACGGTTCACTTCACAACACAGCTCACGTGGTGCTTGGTCGCCAAGGAGACCCACATGGAAAATACAACTTACCTCCTGGAGTACTGGAACACTTTGAAACTGCTACCCGCGACCCAGCATTCTTTAGATTACATAAATATATGGATAATATCTTCAGAGAACATAAGGATAGCCTTACTCCTTACACGAAAGATGAGTTGGAATTCAGTGGTGTTGCTATCGACAATGTTGCCATTGACGGTACACTGGAGACCTTCTTTGAGGATTATGAATACAGTCTTCTCACAGCTGTCGATGACACCGTTGAAATAGATGACGTGGATATTACTACAGTTGTATCACGTCTGAACCACAAAGACTTTTCCTTCAACATTGACGTAACCAACAATAATGATCACGAAGTGTTGGCAACAGTGCGTATCTTCGCCTGGCCACATCGTGACAACAATGGTATTGTCTACCCATTCAACGAGGGACGCTGGAGAGCCGTCGAGCTGGATAGGTTCTGGAAACAGCGTAAGTATATTTTCAATGAATGAGAATTATTTGGAATGACGAAATTAAAATATTGGCCCTAATTGTTAAGCTTATTTTTTTTAAATTTATGTTTCCTTTTCCATACAGTGAGTCCTGGTGTGAACCACATTGTACGCAAATCCACTGAGTCGGCAGTGACTGTCCCTGACGTGCCCAGTTTCCATTCATTGATAAAGAAGACTGATGATGCACTCTCCTCTGGTAGCCAGCTTGACCTTCATCAGTACGAGAGTGCACTTGGACTGCCTAACAGGTTCTTGCTTCCCAAGGGTAACTCACAAGGTCTGGAGTTCGATCTGGTTGTTGCTGTGACTGACGGCAAGGCAGACGCAGCAGTTGATGATCTACATACTAATACCAAATTTAACCACTACGGCTACGATGGAGTGTATCCCGACCACCGACCACATGGCTACCCGTTGGATCGTCGTGTTGATGATGAACGCATCTTCCACGACCTCTCTAACTTCCACCAAACTGTTGTTAAAGTCTACAATCATTAAAATTTTTAACACCATTCAGGGGTGTATCTACCTCAAGCTCGTTTTCTTTTAAGTAACAAATTTTGGCACTACATGAAAATTACTAGTTTGCGCAGGAGAATGGTCTTACTGCCAGTTGGCACTGAGCAGTGGCACTGTGAGGTTTGTGATCATGTAGCTTCCAGCACTATTTTTACTTAATATTACAATCTAGTCATCCTAGTGCTTCTCACCCATGATAATCAAAGACAGATCAAACATCTTATGAATTTTTTTTTTCACTATCAGAGGATGACTTGTCTGACTTTAATAAAAACTGCTCAGTGGCGCCCCCTTTCAAGTGGCGCCCCCCTTCAGGTGGTGCCCAGGGCACGTGCCATACTTGCCGTACCTTAGGTACGCCACTGACACCATTTAAAATGAAAAATTTAAAAAACTTCTTGTCAGTTTAATTTTGTTTACAAAACACTCTTTGTTGGCAAATAAAAATATTATGAGCAAATTTTTATTATATTTTCCGAATTATTTTATATCTCAACTTCACCATTATTGTTACATTTTCAACTGATCTTTCCTCTTTTTCATCAGGATTTTTGTATCAATAGAAACTATGATTGGCTACTTAGCTAGTTTTTGAAATCATTCTGAATAGGTTATGTAGCAATAATACTGAAATCTGTCTCTATGTATCTGGGGGTACAAATACAATGTTCTCAAGCCTGACACTTCCAGCCTCACTGATATTAAATCGGCCTCACGGATATTGGTCCTGCTTCACTAATGTTAGATCTGCCTCTCGGATACTGGTCCTGCCTCACTGATACTAATAATACTTTACTGATTCTCATCCTACCTTACCGATACTGATATTGCCTCACTGATGCAGGTCCTGCTTTCTTTATATGCATCCTGTTTTTTCCTATCTGCTAATAAACAGGTGTCTTAAAAATATAAAGTGAGGCTAAGAAAAAATATAATAAATTCATAATGAATGACGTACGGGAAACACAGTGGACGAAGAGTAGGAAATTTTATATATAGTACTAAAAATTGGCTAGTTTCCGCTAGTTAAGTAAGAACTTAAGTAAGAACTAGCGGAAAAATAGTGGAGAAAGAAAATTAGTATATATATTGCTAAATTAAAGAAAACATTATTCATATTAATATCAAGAGAGATCTACAAACCAAAAAGAAAAAAGAATGTAAAGAAAATATGTGATAAATTCTGTCAGCAGCGAAGCACAGATTTTAGCTGGAATGATTAGTTTAAAAAAATATAATACAACAGAAGAATAAGTAGATGAATGTATAGCAAAAGCCTAGTGCATATACGGCCATGAGTGAAAGATATCGTTCTATCAAAGGCCTGAGCTTGCTACCATCTGCAGCTCACAAGACTGCCATCCCCACGAGCCCCTTTGGGGCGGGGCAGATGGCAGACCAGAGGCCTAGCTTCTCCCTACGAGCCCCGTGAGGGCGGGGAATGTGGCTAGGCCTGGGGACAGTTGGTCCTAAAGATGAGGGGGTACTTGTCCCTCCTCCCATGGGAGACTTAAGTCTCGAGACACTCCCCAGATAGGGAGCCAAGGCCGGGTCACCACTACTTGGAAAAGACCCGGGCCGGGAGAATACCGGCGAATAAGAAAAAAAAAAAAGGTATCGTTCTAGATAGGTACTCAAACAATAATGAAAATATTAGGATTTAAGCATACGTAAAAAATTCTGAACAAAGAATTTGTTACGAAAAGGTAGCAGCCAAAATAAATGGAATTATAAAATATTTAAACATTACGACAAAAAATTAGTAACATTAGGATATAAAATGGGCAAAAATGATGCCATATAAAAATCATAAGCAGTGACAGGATATTATGAATGAAAATAATTATAATCAAATAATACATATTATTCAAAGAGCAGTCAAATAAAATTATGAATAAAGAGCAAGAAGCAAATTGGAAACATATTATATTTTTTCAAGGATGAGCTAGAAATAAGCAGAAAGAAATTAAAAATATCCCAGTTCACTTGTGCAACAATGAAGCAATATTTCTCTACTTAGTATAATGATAATTGTGAAGATTGCTTTATGTATAATGTGCAAAAAATCTGTTTTACACCGATTAAATCCTATTTAATATAAGTCCTCAGTAGAGTGAAGTGATAAAATTGGCAAGGTAAACAAAAATGAAGTAGAAATATTAACTAGATTTTATTGGACTCATTTAAGAAGTAAAACGGGAAATATTAGCACTAGTATAAAATGCTTCTCTTTTCTAGCAAACTGTTTTGTAATTGTTATAAAATTCTGGTTTGCTCTGAAGACTTTGCAATAATTATTTTTCTGTTAATTGAAGAGGATAAGCTTTACAACTTTAATGAGGCTTGAAAATATCTGAGGTAAATTTTAATTCGTTTTCAAGCAGAAATGTTGTGGTCTGTAGATGCAGTCGTTACTGGAACATTAACAACATTTTTTCACAAAGTCTAAATCATTGTAAGCTTTTTCATCTCATTCAGCTTCACAAAACTCGAAATTTCTGTTATAGTTTTGTCTTTAAATTCTTCGATCGTTTTTATTCCTGCTAAACCAAATTAAATCATTTTCAGTTTACTCCTCTGGTACCACTTCAGTTTAATGGCTAATGTATCTTAAGGCCAAGGTAGTACGAATTAATTTTCATTTGCGTGCAGGAAAAAAACTTGCAATCGACAAAATTCGTACCATGGATAAAGAATGACTCATCTGATAGACTTCAAACTTTCACCACCGGTACGGTTGCCTAAACACAGCTCTCACACTTCCATTGGGTGGCATAGGTCCCAGTTTGAAAATTTTATTAAAAAATTAGCGATATTAATTTTTTTTTTCGCTAACTTATGAATGCTTCTTCCGGCTTCAAAATATTACCGACAATGATAACCCAAAAAAGACAGGCCCAAATAGCTAAAGAAACGATGGAACTGATGGAATAAAGTCAATTACTGAAGAACAACTCTTCTGATCGGCTTTAAACTTGTACCGTATTTGGACCTTATTAAAACACAGTTTGTCACTCACTTTGAGCAGTGTACAGCAAGTGAAAATATGCAGTACTGACCAGAGAGGAAAAAAATCAGAATCTTGTGGAGATCATGTTCGTCTCTCTCAAACAAAAGTGTCATAGGAGTAGAGAAATTAGGGAGCATTCAATATTATTTTCATGTTCTTTAAATTTATATACGAGTTTTTCAATGTAGTATGATTTTCTTCATACGTTTTCTCATGGCAGCTCTTACCGTAGTGAAAACAGGTTCGAGAAAAGAGAGCCTTTTGATTTTCTATTCTAACTTCAACTATATAACAAACTGATTCCTTCTTTCTGTTTCTCTAAGTACTTCTATTCATTTAAGTTACTAATTTTAACATTAATATACAGTTAGACAGAAATGTAACAATAGTCTAAAAAAAAAAAAAAGACTGAGGAAACAATTTGGCTTTAATAAAAGTAATATATATCAGAACATCTTTATTTGCTTATTGCAAAGTTGATGTAAACATTGAACACAGAATTTCCATGGTATATTTCTTCTAATTCTTTCTGCTCGTATATCGCATTTTAAGCATGATTATAGACCTTAACAGTAATTTGTTTAAAGTTGGAAATTTCGTGGAAGATGCGCTCATCGTCGACACGACGATCAAGAGGGTAACCATGTGGCTGGTTGTCGGGATAACTCCTTGGTAGCCGTAGTGGTTGAATTTGGAGTTTCTATGAAGATTGTCCACGGCAGCGTCAGCCGTGCCGTCGGTCACAGCCACTACCAGGTCGAACTCCATACCATCTGAGTTACCCTTGGGAAGCAAGAACCTGTTTGGCAGTCCAAGTGCACTCTCATATTTGTCAAGGTCGAGTTGGCCACCAGAGGTGAGGGCAGCGTGAGCCTTCTGTATCAGTGACTGGAAACTTGGGACGTCAGGGACCGTTACTGCCGATTCAGTTGACTTACGTACGATGTGGTTCACACCAGGTCTTACTGTTGATATGTAGAGAAAATCTCAATTAAATACATATAAATATTTACTTTGAAAAGTTGAAAAATATGAGAGCAACAGGAAGATTTTTCGTCATTCTTTTACAAGATCAGAATAAAGCTTTCATTTAAATAAACTTATCCATTTAAAAACTTGCATTTGCATGTAAAAATATTGCTTTAAATAACTTACATTTTCTCCAGAACCTGTCCAACTCGATGGCTCTCCAGCGTCCCTCGTTGAATGGGTAGACAATACCATTGTTGTCACGATGTGGCAAAGCGAAGATACGAACTGTTGCCAACACTTCTTTATCATTATTGTTCATGACATCAATTTTGTAGGAAAAGTCCTTGTGGTTCAAACGGGACACCGTTGTAGTAATGTCTACGTCATCAATTTCGACTGTGTCATCCACGGCAGTGAGCAAACTATATTCAAAATCTTCAAAATAAGTTTCAAGTGCTCCATCTATGACAACATTTTCAATAGCCACACCTCCAAATTCTAACTCTTCCTTAGTGTAGGGAGTGAGACTGTCCTTATGTTCCCTGAAAATATTGTCCATATATTTATGTAGTCTGAAGAATGCTGGGTCACGGGTGGCAGTTTCAAAGTGCTCCAAGACTCCTGGAGGCAAACCATATTTGCCCTGTGGATCTCCTTGGCGACCAAGTATTATGTGAGCTGTGTTGTGGAGAGAGCCGTAATACTCAGCGTTAGGACTGTACGTAGAAGATTCGATAACATCACCAAGAATATCAATACCACGTGCAGTTTTTATATCAATGATGGATCCATCCTTGGCTATAACATATCCATGAGCAATTGCATCACGAATGCGGCTCTCATATATAATCATGTCACGTATGCGTGCTACACCGTCCACGTCTTGAAAGAGGATATTATCAGGACGAGAAGGGAAGTAGCCACCAAACTTGTAAGTTGCATGGGGTGAGAAGCCTTCCTTAATTGGCTTTTCCCAATGAAGTTCTTCAACAGGATCCAAATAGTTAGACAGACGTTCAGCATCAAAACGAACAGTGAGCTGGTGATGTACCCAGAAGAAGTTTTCTCCTTTCCGATCGAGATGGTGACTTTCATGTTTGTCATTCCACCAGAATGGGAACTCCAAGTGCCAAGTAACGTGGTGGGTATTCAAGCCAATATCTTCACCGAAGTACGCTACACGTTGTTCTGGGTTCTTTTGACTGCCGGTAAATTCTGATGTGAACTTTCCAGGTGTCTGAGTCATCTTGGCATGGTAGGCTTGCTGGATAACTTCACTGTTTGTGAACAAATGTGGGGTGACCTCGTAAAGCGGTGGAAGTACAACGTATTTGGTGAGTGGAGAGTGCGTCACTGCTGCATACAATGCGTACACAAATTCTCCTTCATTCATGCGGTTTCTGAAATAAGCGGCATTACTGATGAAAGTTTGCCAGTCTTTGCTATGTTCCAAAACATCATAGAGCATAAGTGCTTCT